GCAGCAGGATGCGCTATCGAAAAAAGGCAGGCAGGTGGAGGCAGTGTTGTGCTCTGGGCATGTTTTACTGGGAAGCCTTGGGTCCTGGCATTCATGTAGATGTTACTTTGGCATGTACCACCTACCTAGGGATTGTTGCAGATCACGGATATGATTCCTGATGGCAGTGGTCTCTTTCAGCAGGATAATGCTACCTGCAACACTGCAAAAATTTTTAAGGAATGGTTTGACATGAGAAAGAGTTCAAGGTGTTGCCCTGACCTCCTAATTCCACAGATCTCAATCCAATTGAGTATATTTGCAATGTGCTGGAACATCAAATCTGAACCATGGAGGCCCCACCTCACGATACCACAGGACATGTTCAGAAGTCTTGTGGAGTCCATGCGTCGATGCATCAGAGCTGTTTTGGCAGCATGAGGGGGACCTACATAATATTAGTTATTAATGATCAGTATATAATGTATTAAATTGAGTCATTTTTTTGTCAAATGTTTTCCTTTAATGCTGTTTTTTTGCATTTGGACATGAATTTGTTTAGCAATAATATACATTATACATCTGTCTAAAAAAACCTCAGTTCCCTAATGTCATAGAGTTTGTTCACAGAACATGCCAATAACTTCAACACACACATTTGGCTTAAAGGAAAAAAGGTAGTGAGATCCCTGCTCTAATGAGCTTACAATCTAGGGGAGATATGGTATAGTTACAAATCTATTAGGTTTATGAGAGAGGACAAAAGCACATTATTTTGGTGGTGCATCATCAGTTATGAGTCATGTTTTTAAGGTGGAAGCAGCAGGATTTTGAAATTGACTGGATGTAGGGAGTGAAAGAGAAGTTGGAATCAAATAAGTCGCCTAGGTATCATGAATTAGAATAAAACCATAACAAACAGAACATGTCTAGTAATAAAACAAAGAGAAAATTATAACAGCATGTATATCGGCTCTCAGATTGACCAATCTAACACAATGTCTGTATTAAGGAATGCAATAGTAATCCTGCAAGCAGGCAGAATAGTTTGAATAGCTGAACTCAAGGTAGTCAGATAATAGAAAAAAATGTAAAGTCAAGTTAGATCAGATGATACTAGATATCAGGGTCAACAATAGTGTAACAGAGCTTCCTATAACCCGGTTGGGTACTTCTGCCGACAGATGCTCTTAGTGCTCACTGAGGAATCCGAGCGCTTCTCCAGACACCATAAGCACTACAGACTCCACAACCGCTGCAGCTTGGTTGAGGTCTCGCCGTCTCCTACCCACCCTGGACCTACGACAAGGCTCCAGGTTCCAGTGGGTGAACCTCTCTTCCTCCATAGAGTCAAGCAGGAATAGCTCTTATAAGAGCTTAGAGAATCCAAGGGACTATAATGATTATAGCAATCCCTTGTAGTCAGATAGCGGTTCCCTACAATAAGACACATAACTCAGTATTGAGGGTGAAGTAGATCTGAAGTTTAATGGAGGCACACTGCCTATTTTGCAGGTTTCCCAACAAGGTTAACACCCAGGTGGACCTTGTTGGGCACAGGGACACAAAGGGAATAAACCAATAAGAATCGTAATTAACTGTGCGACACTCCCATAACGCACATACAATCCCTCCCCTCTGCCTGTGATGTAATTAAGGTAGCTAGTACATTGACTTAATTATCCCCAGGCATTAAAAACCCACATTCATAAAAAGTCCAATGAGTACCCCACAACATAACACATCCCCTGATAGCCCTGATCTGGGTGAACAACATATCCAAAAATCACCCACATCAGAGCAGGGGTTCAGGAAATTCCTGGAAGTCTCTTTTGACCGACCGCACGCATGGTTTCATGCCCACAACAGTTCCAGAGATTTAGGCTGTGCGACCGGTCTATTTTAAATGGTCGAAGTACAGTTCAAATTACCAAACTTAATGGTGAAAGGCCATAGTTTGTGAGTGTCCCTTGTTCGTGGGCTTCGACTCACCGAACACCATTCGACTCCCATTTGAATAGTCGAAGTTTCCTGGAAGGTAACTGTTGAGCGGTGTTTGTGCTGTCGAGTGTCCGATTTGAGTTCCATGAGCTCAACGACAAAGCACAGCTGAAGGCGTTCAACCAAATAAGATGGCCGCCACGTGTTCGACTATACGAATGGCGGCCACTTCGACACTTCAACTGTATCTGAAGTGCCACTTCGACAACTTCAAAAGTTCGAAGAACCATTGTGCCAAGTCCCAATAGGCACAAATAGTGTCTCTCAGCCACAATAAATTAAAGGGGCTATAGTAACAGGGTAGGAGGCTGGCAAACAGGCCTCTCCAAAAACCAGTGGCAAGGTCACTTTTGCCACAAATAGACTAACCAAAAAATAAGTAACAGGTGGTCAAGGTAGGAGAAGAGGGACCTTTCTGTGTAGTGTGTTAAATTGGAGAGGGGGCAGTGTATTAGTTTAAGAGAGAGGGGGCCATATTATTAATTGGGGAGGCAGTGTAGGGGAATTGTATTCAATTGGGTGAGATACGGGGCAGTGTACTAGAGTGGTAGGAGGTGCAGTGTATTAATTTGGGGGAGGGAGGAGTGATGTGTATTAGAGCTGAACGCTCCCTGTGGAGATGCTGACTGGCCGCATTTTTGCCACACATGCACAATATTCTCCCAATTCTTTTCTATGCTCACGACTTCAAACAGCATACATTCACCATTTCAGTGTCATGGTTTGCACCGTGCCAAGCAAACTGCCAGCAATGGACATCACTTATCAGTGCCTGGCTGGGATTGAACCTGGGTCTTCTAAATCCCAGTCAGTGAATTTATCTAATCTTCTCAGGTTCATTATAGTTCATTTCTCATTGCCATGGTGTCAGGATTACTGTTTGATCCAGCACGTAGAACTGTACAGCAGAGATGACAAATAAGTAACGTATTACCGGTCCTTAGAATGGCCGGATTTAACGTACAAAGAATAGTCAAAAATACTAGCCGAGGTCAGGGAACACAGAAAGGGACACAGCGATGAGGAAAGCCAGGAGTCAGGATACCAGAATATAGAGAAGTCAATAAACAAAGCCAAAGTCAAAACCAGGTAGAAAACTATAAACAGGAACGCGCTCTCAGACAACCACAAGGGAAACCACGACAGGGCACTGAGCAGGCTGAGAACTGGGCCTAAATACCCCTCCTTTAGTTCTGATAGGCTGTAACCGGCCTTTGACCCCAAAGTCAGTTACCAGGTTTCATTTGTATAATTGCTGCTCAGCATTAACCCTTCTGTGGATTAGGTTGCTGCTCGGCACAACTTTTCCTGTGTGGACAGTAAATGTCATTAATCACTTTTCTATAAGCGGATGAATACATGACACCAGGTTTCATTTGCACAATTACTGCTCAGCATTAACCCTTCTGTGGATTAGGTTGCTGCTCGGCACAACTTTTCCTGTGTGGACAGTAAATGTCATTAACCACATTTCTATAAGCGGATAAATATGTGACACATGGTATCTGCATCTCTAAGCCTGGACTACTTAGCTACCTTTATAAGCCCTGCCTTACCACTTCCTCCTTGTCAGATCGTTTGGTTCCTGTCTTGGAAACTGTTTAGTTTATTTGACTCCTGCTTTGACCTTCAGAACTGTTTACCTTATTTTCCGGATTTCCACCTGCCCCAACCATTGGAACAGTATCTGACTACTCTATTGGAATTCCCTTATCTCTTCTGCATATCCAGGAGTACTTTTCCTGCAATGCCCCAGTGCATTGTTTCACAACTATGGAGATTTCTTCCTAGAGTCACCTCGGTCCGTGTTAACCTGCAAGGCTGTGCCTTAACTCACCACTTCACACTCCCACCTCCAGGTAAGATCATTACATTCAGTCCTGTGAAGGAATCCCTCTTTATGTATAATATTTCTTCCATATTCATTTGGTAGATATAACTACCGAACAGAGACCACCCCCTGGCTCGTTAAAATTCAAAGAATGCTTCAATTGAACCCTCTATCTGTACTACCGAACGCCACGTGGCTGAGAAAACAGCAGCCATCTTTTTTCAGGTGAACAAAGCCAGGAGAATCCATTCGTGGAATTATTCGTTTTTTGCCCTTTAATGAATAGACCGGCAAAACCACCCAAACTCCTGGAACTATTTTGGGAAGCCACCTCGCGGTTAGGTCACAAAGGACTTCCACACTTTTTGAGAAACCCTGAACCGATCTGGGTGAAATTTGAATATGTTGGTCACCCAGATTGGGGCTATCAGGGGACATATTATTTGTGGGCATACCCCATGTATAAAGGGGTGTTCTGAATATTGGGTAAAAATTTTTTTTTTTTGCCTGGAGATAATTAAGTTATTACTTTATCAGATTTGATTATCTCCAGGACTAGGGGAAGGAATTGTATGTTTGTGCTGGGTGTGTTTTACTGTTTTCCTGTAACTGATTGGTTATACTGTGTCCCTCCCTGTGGGATGTCCCCTTGCATGGGGACTTGCATAAAAGCCTGTGTGTGGTCATTAAAAGCCAGTTCTACTGTACCCTTCTTCTTGACTTCGGCTGATGTTTGGGGATTCGTGTGATTTATTAAGGGAATTATCTTATAAAGCTATTTGTATTCGTATGGATTTTGTCTATTTCATCTACCGAACCGAGAGCTATACTCACTGATGCTCTGGCGGTTCGGGAGGAAACTACCGAATGAGGATTGAATATACTGGGTTTCTTTATAAGTCCCATTACCAAACTTTTCTTTATATGTCAAGGTAGTTGGACTGAAATGTTGGTTATATGCAAATGTACGTCTCCTTAAAATAAATTCACTCTTTTGTTTACTTTGAAGCCCTATGAGCTTGAGGACTTCCAGTGTCAGTAAGGCACTTTTTTTTGTATACTGTACTTTTCTAAATAAACCTAAGTTTCGGGGCGTGGCCTGCTCGGGTATGGAGTAGGACGCATCCTGAACCTGCTCCGCGGCCCCAGCTCACACTAGCACCCATCAACGAGCGCTATCCGACCCGAGATGGGTAAATCCCGGAGACCCCACACGCCGGGACCCTCACAAGCCGGCTCGCCGGGTCGCACCTCGGGCCCCATGGACGGCTATGTATGCACGCCGCGAGACATGCGGTCCGCGCCGGCCGCATCCAAAATGGCGCCGGCCTCCCCAGGGGACAGCAGCAGTGACAGCCTGACGCAGGGCTCACCCAGGGGAGACACTCTGGCGCATATTTCATCCGAGCTGGCCAAGATCACTGCCAATATGCTGTCCAGAGCTGACAAAGCTGAGATGCTGGCAGAAATCAGGACTGCAATCAGGGAGGAAGTCATGGAGGTGAGGAAAGACCTGACAGCCCTTGAACAAAGGGTAGAGGCCCTTGAAGCAGACAGAGCCCAGACTGTGCAGCACCAACAGGCCACAGAAACTGCCACCACCAGACAGGGCAATGTCCTACTAGATCTCAGGAGACAACTAGAAGACCTGGACAATCGCGGAAGGAGGAACAATATCCGCATAAGGGGCCTACCCGAAAACGCGGACGAAACGCTGCCAGAGCTCCTGACAGACCTGTTTACCCATATTCTGGGTGACAGAGCCCCAGAAGACTACGGTATCGAAAGAGCCCATAGAGCGCTGAGACCCTTGTCCCCTGAGGGACCGCCGAGAGACGTAATCTGCTGCTTGCTCTCTTACGCCTTAAAAGATGGCATCATGAGAGCGGCGCGCAATCAACAGAACATCGCCTTTAGAGACGGGCAGGTCTCGCTTTACCAGGATCTCTCCGCGCTCACGCTAGAGGCCAGGAGGGCGCTACGTCCAGTAACCGCCATTCTCCGGGAGCGGAGGATCCCGTACAAATGGGGCTTCCCCTTCAGCCTGCAGGCGAGGGTGGGCCAAACCTGGCATATCATCCGCTGGCCAGCTGATGTTCCACGCTTCCTACGAGCCACGAGTCTACCCGCGGTGACGATATCCAACTGGGTCCTGGAGCGACAACCACAGCACCCACGGGCGGTAAGCGACAGGCCGGGCACGGGCCTCACAGGCAGCGGGTTCCGGCGGGGTGGCCCAGACAGCCATGAAGAATAACTGTCCCCTATGAACCTGTTCCCCTACCTCCCATTCTGCTAACCCGACCGTCAACCTGCCACCCCACCAACGGCCCCCCAGCCACTACGAGAGAAGGCCACAAGACAGCTCAGAAGACCTAGACACGACCACCGGAAGCTCCTGTGGGTGTCGGGCACCACGAGACGACATTGCCCCCCACGCACCTGGTCGAACCACAGCACAACTTGGTATGTACTTGACTCCCTGACCTAAGCCCGCAACATGGGGTCCAGATCCTCATTAGCAGGGGGTGGCCTAACCTGAGCCTCACAACCAGGGGTGGGGACCCCCAGGAGATAGACTTTGCATGGACATGCCACGCTGGGACTCTCCTAGTGGCCAAGGCCCGGGAACACCAGCTACCTTTGGGTGGAGGGGGTGCGGGGATGGAAGCTGGGAGGCTGCCACCATACCAGGGTTATACCCACCGCTGTAAGGGTGATCTCCCCAAGCTCTAGCCTGAAGGGCACGACCGATAGCATAGATCCCAGCACCTTCTGGACAGCCGAGGGCCTCTCAGGCATGTAATGGGGCCACCAAGGGGGGGGTGCGGGGAGCTCCCTTTGGGGGGGGGGGAAGAATGGGGGGCCATGCTCCACAACTGTTTATTATGACTGTTATATTGGTTTATGGTTTTTATTGTTTGTAAACAATTACGCGGACGCGGTACAATACGTGTAGCAACAGTTACAGAATGACGTGAAACTTGGGGCCCGAGTTAGACTCAGACACATACACAGACCATACATGGGCCGAGACAGGGAGGGGCAACGAGGGTGGGTGGGGTTTCCGGGACGGGAACATACTCGGAGAGATCTACAACCCAACACAATAGGTGAGCTGGGAGCCAAGGGAAAGGCTCGACACAACACTATCGAACGACCCACACTAGAGGGACCGCATACCCCAAGCAACGGACTCACGTTGTATATACACTCGGAGGCCACCGAGGTGACTCACCCCCAGGGGAACAGACACCAGAAGGCGACAAAAACCGAGGCGAGTCACAGTTGCCTCTCTCTTGGACAGACTATCACCCTCCCCAGACACCGGACAGACCTTACCCCTATACCCATCAACCACTGAAGCACACATACCCACACACACCTCACAACAAACACTGATAGAGATGGGCTCTAACTACAAGCCGACACCACTGACCCTATGGTCTAACAATGTAAGAGGCTTAAACATTCCCGAAAAAAGGTCCCAACTACTTCGCACACTGTGGGCAGAGCGCGCCTCAGTGGCGTTCTTACAGGAAACACATTTTCAGGGTACAGAGGCGCCAAACGTGAGAAACAGGCGTTACCCCACAGGATTCTATGCTAATCACCCGGACGGGAAGAAGGCCGGAGTAGCAATCCTACTCTCCAGTACAGTCCCATTCGTTTGCACGGAGCAGAAGTCAGACCCCGGGGGTAGATACGTATTTATCAAAGGCACGATAGCACAGTCCACCTACACATTTGCCTGCCTGTACTCCCCTAATCGACGTCAACACGTCTTCCTAACTAAAACGCTAGCCCTACTAAACAAATTCAGAGAAGGCCTTCTGATAGTGGCAGGAGACCTCAACATTCCCCTTGACTCTAGGTTGGATACATCTAGGGGAGAAACTTCGATACCAGGTCACTGCATACGCTCAACAGGGAGGGCCTTAGCCCGGTGTGGCTTAGCTGACTGCTGGAGAGTGGCTAACCCCGAGGGCAGAGACTACACCTTCTACTCGGCTGTACATCGACGCTACAGCCGAATAGACTACATCCTAATGGCGCAAGAGGCCCTAACACTACTCCAACGAGCTAGCATAGGGCATATCGCAGACTCTGACCACGCCCCCATTACAGTACAAATCCAATCCCCCCTACATAAACCTGCAGAGCGGCAATGGAAGTTGAACGAAAACTTACTACTTGACCTAGTGGACAAGGAACAAGCCAGGCAAGCACTGACACAATACTTTGACACTAACAACACGCCAGACACCCCCCCCCTAACAATCTGGGAGGCACATAAATGTGTCATTAGAGGCCACTATATCAAAATATGCTCACAGCGTAAAAAAGAACGCACACAACAATTGTCCACCCTAAACGCACAAATCACCACACTAGAGCAGGCACACAAACAAAATCAGGGGGAAAACGAGTTCCACCGACTGACGGAGCTTAGGAGGCAGAGACGGGACATACTAGCCAAGGGCCTTTTGCGCACCCTTAGAAAGTCGGCTCGGCACTTCTTCGAGTACTCCAACAAGAGCAGTAGGCTTTTAGCCCGCCAGCTTCAAGACAGGAGAAGGGCGAACCACATACACAAAATTAACACTAGAGACAAGACTGTAACAAGTCTACCCGACGGAATCCAACGTGCTTTTGTGGACTACTACACCGACTTATATAATATCCCCCAGCCCACGACGGTCACCACACAGGCCCAACGCCGGGGACAAATAACGGAGTACTTAGACCAAAATGTAGAAAGACAATTGACCCCAGAAATGATAGAGGAACTAGAACGACCCCTCACGATAGAAGAGTTAGCCGCAGCATTAAAAATCTCCAAATCCCACAGGGCGCCTGGCCCAGATGGCCTTCCGCTGGCATACTTGCGAACATTCCGCGATGTATTATTGCCGAACCTCCTACGAGGTCTTAGCTCACTTCAAGACGGGGAACGGTTTCCCACTGACACACTAGCGGCCATAGTCACGGTGATACCCAAAGAAGGTAAAGACCCAGCGAATTGCGCTAGCTACCGCCCCATATCCCTGCTCAATGCAGACCTCAAACTGTTCGCCAAGACACTAGCCCTGCGAATCGCGAAGCACCTACCACACCTAGTGCACTCGGACCAGGTCGGGTTCATCCCAGAGAGGGAGGGAAGAGATAACACCATCAAAGCCCTAAACATACTGCAAGTAGCAAGGTCGCAACACCGGGAGCTACTCCTCCTCTCGACAGATGCCGAGAAGGCCTTCGACCGGGTGGACTGGCTGTACTTGGAGGAAACACTCACACACATGGGGTTCGGCCCACGCATGCGATCATGGGTCCTTTCCCTGTACACGAGCCCGACGGCACGGATTCGGGTGAATGGTGCTCTGTCCACCCCCTTTCCCATTCGAAATGGAACCCGCCAGGGCTGCCCGCTGTCCCCCCTCCTGTTTGCCCTCTCCCTGGAACCCTTCCTGGGGGCGGTCCGACGAGATGGGGGTATCACGGGATTCACCGTCGGCCGGCGAGAATATCGAGTTGCGGCATACGCGGATGACATGTTGTTTTTCCTCACCCTTCCGCGGATATCACTTCCTAATCTTCTGGCCGCATTCCGAAGGTTTGGCTTGATATCTAACCTTAAGCTCAACACAGATAAGTCAGAAGCCCTTCACCTTCCAAGCCCCCAGGACTCCTCAACGACGCTACACACCCAATTCCGCTTCAAATGGTGCCCCACTAAATTGAAATACCTGGGTATATGGCTACCAAAAGACATGACCCAACTGTACTACCAAAACTACCACCCGCTGCTACAAAAGATCCAGGCAGACATGAGAAAATGGGCCCCACAATATATATCTTGGTTTGGACGCATTAACGCAGTCAAAATGAACCTACTACCCAGACTGCTCTATTTATTCCAGACGGTGCCGATCGCGGTCCCCAGGGCGTTCTTTAGCTCCCTGTTGACCGCCATCCGCAGATTCGTTTGGAATTCGCGCCCAACACGCATCAAGAGAACGACATTGGAACTGCCAAAACCGTTGGGGGGTACCGGCCTGCCCTCAATTGAGACATACTACCGGGCCGCACATTTACACAGGCTCACAGACTGGCACGCACAGCATCCCACAAAACAATGGGTCACGCTGGAATTGGAACAGTCGGGAGGGCACATACCCCCCACATTATGGCTACACACTGCTACGCATGCAGATCTACAAACTAAAAACCCCTTAATAGACGCCACCCTGAGGGTCTGGATGGCAACCCGATACCGTCTACAACTCACCACTTCGCCCAGCCCCCTGATCCCCCTCACACATAACCCGGACTTGGCAGATTCACTGACTCGAGGTGACCTAGCCGGACTCCAACCGACGGACTGGTCATATATACACCAATGGCTCAGCACCAACGGCCTAAAAACAATCGGAGAACTATGCCCCGACAGAACACCTACATTCCTTGAACAGTTTAGATACCGCCAAATAAAATCTTACT